TCTCAGCTGCTGGTAAAAATATTATGAATAATTTCTAATTCCCAGACAGTCATTTAAAAATGAAGGTAATGACCTGTAGACAACCTTATGCCTGAACATCAGCCAATTCGGGAGGAAGTGGAGTCTTAGGATGCTTGCTTTCAAAGTGCTGTTTGAAGGTCTTGGGATCCGGCATTTGTGTCTGATTAAAGAGAGAAATTTAACTTTATGCACAGTACAAGAGTTAAAAAATACTACAAAACCTGTTCCCCCCTCCCCATTTTGTTTTCTTTTTCCTCAAGCAAACTGTCTCCTCAAAGACACTGCTCTAGTGACAGAAGCACCATTAATGCAGCTACAGCTTAAGAGACTATTTAACCTCAGATTTTCAAAGAGGTGCTTTTAAGCACTAGTATCACACTGCTTTGGCATGTTCATCAACAGTATTATTCTTGCTACAAGTCCCCTGAAGATCTTACACTTCATAAGCTGGTTTGGTGGGAAACCTACCTCCTATCTAAGAGATAAACATTTGTTCTTTTTAGAATCAAATCTTTATGGAAGCTCCTTCTTTTGTTTATCAACAGGCCAAGAGTTAAGGGGCACAGACTGATTCTCTACTTGGCAGAAGCTACCTCAGGCTACTGCAGTTGCAGGCATCAGCTGCCCAAAGTGACTGTTGCCACAGACCGATTTCACAAGAGGAGGAACTGGTTACAAGTACTTAAGTGAGCAGCTTACGCTGGAACCTTATTTAAGACATTCAAAGTGACAAATCTACTCCGAGACCAACCATTTATGTGAAAATGGCAAGTTTACCATTTAGATCCAAAACAACACCATTCAGGAAAACTAGCCAGAAGTATAATCTGATTAGTGCTCACATTTGCGTTCTCTTGTCAAGTCATTTATTCAACTAGAAAATACATTAAAGATTTTGGCACCACCACTCTTCCTCTCTACATGAGCAGGGATTCTAAGACAGGCCAATTCCATCACAAAGATGAGATGTTCCCATTTGGAGATTAAACAGGAAGTGATCTCACACTTTTTACATTTTATACCTCATACTAACAGCACATGCAGACCTCTGCAATTCAAAAGTCAAGATAACCACCCAGAACAGATCTGGTATGTGACCCCTCCCGTTTTCTCCTATCTCAATTATCAGTACAGCTGAGTAATCTTTAAGCAAGTCACATAACATGCAAATGCTTCCAGCAGTGAGCTAGACAGCCACTTGAAAAGTATTTGAGTTTCTGCTATATATTCTTCTAAAAATTCTCTAGGCTGGAAGACAGACCTGCCTACAATATTTGGTTCCTCTTACCCTACAGACAGTGCAGGTATATATCAAGGCAGCCTTGGCTGCAGCCTTCTGATCATGTCCTTGTTTCTTTTTCTGCTCAGCTTGCTTTTTGGCATTTTTCTGCTGCGATTGAATCTTCTGCTGTCCACGAGCCATATCTACAAACAAAAAGACAACATTTAGTCTATAGATGTGAGAAACTACTACTGCTAGCTGACTGAGAAGCTGTAACCATGAGCATAATGCAGTCGTGCTCATCCATGAGGCCTACAACTCCCATAACTCTCATACAACAGACATCTGTTCAAGCTCTTTACTATGTAAAGACTCTGGTTTTAGTATTGTTCTTAAAATACACACCAGAATTAATAGGTCATTTTAAGGTTTGTTCCTCTACAAAGCTTCAAGGTCTACTTTTGAAAAGTATTTTCAACAGTCAGAATAATTGAAGTTTCCTTTACAGTTAACAGAAACTTATTCTCTATTTCCACAAGTACAATAAAATTTAGGGGGTTTTGTTCTTTAAAGTTTAAGACTCAACCTTTATTTCTGGAACTTGAAAGAGGTTCCAAGAAAGGCAAATCAAAGTATTATCCAAGCTGTTATTACTATCTTGTGGTATACATGCTTGTGAGCTGCTTTGGAGTTGGGAATGCCAAGAACAATAGATCACCCTTCTTTCTTCAAGGCTATTTTTACAGGTGGCCACTCTTTTTTATTATTACCCAACTTTACATGCACACACTTCTTAAAAAGAAATAAAGCTGCCCCCATAGGAAGCCATTACTCACACAGGAGCATAAAGGAAGCAAACACTACTGCCATATACCTTTAGAAGGTTCACCAGAAGAAACAAGGCACAAAGAAATCACACTTCAGGGAGCAGCAAACCAGCGTATGCTACCAATGCCACGTTCTGCCTGCCTGCAGCCCACCAGGGCACCCTACTCAGCCTGCAGCCCACCCAGACACCCCACTCAGCCTGCAGCCCACCCACAGAGCAGGCACCAGGCAGGGTTTGGGTGCAGCAAGCGAGCAGAATCCAGAGCATGCTTATATAACCCAGCAGCCCACTTTCTGCTATTATCTTTCCCGGTCCCTCACAGCCCACGCACAATCCAGTTGTGCAGCTCTCACAGAAGCACAAGACCTGCTACACAGGCACAGGGCAGCAGCTAGTGAAGTCCGCTGTTTCCAGGACTAGTGAAGTCAAATGTTCACAGGAGGTTGGCTGGTTGGTTGGTAACTGCCCCTCTATGCAACCTGGGCATTTGCTGCAAGTTTGGTACTCATGCATGAGTCACACTGGGTGCCTACAACAGGTCTGTCATGCACTCCCCTCCATGGGGACAGAAGAAGAAAAGCCTGTTCAAACAAAGACTGACCTCCAGTAAGCATGTGTTAAAGGCCCTTAAAACTGTTGAGTTTCTATGAAACATGGACACCTGGAAATACATTAGTACTGCCTGAATTTCTGGACACAGAATCGCAAAATCGGCTAGGTTGGTAAAGACTTTTAAGATCACTGAGTCCAACCATTACTTCAGGACTGCAAATTCATCACTAAGCCATGTCACTGAGAGCTGAGCCACATCTACATGGTTTTTGAGTGCTTCGAGGGCCGGTGATTCCACCACTGCCTTGGGCAGACTGTTCCAGCGCCTGAGGACCTTCTTGGTGAAGAAATTTTTCCCAATATCCAATCTAAACCTCCCCTGGTCCAGCTTGAGGCTGTTACCTCTTGTCCTGTCAGTTGTTACTTGGGAAAAGAAACCAGCCACCTCCTCTCTCCATCTTTTCAGGTAACATCACAGTGCTTAACACTGAGCAAAAAGATGGTTCTGAGACCCAAAGCAGCTCTTGAAGATTGAGAGGCACCTCTCAGGCCACACTCCCAACTTTTTCTTGGATCTATAACAACATCATGTAACACTTAGCAGAAACATTACACTGCATCTTTGAGCGTTCCCTGCTCCTCCCCCATCAGTTTCTCTAAAGGAATATTTAAGTCCAGACAGTTAACAAAATTGAACACAAGAAAACAAAAACTCTATTAACAAGCATAAATTCGTGTGGCATTCAACAGTTTCCATAAGACATAGCACTGAATGTTAACAAAACTAAATATATCAGTTTATGCTACAGTTACTCCAAAACACCCCAGCCAGGGCCTCACCATGTTTACGTACAGCACGGCTCAACCAGAATACTACATTCCCATTGAAAATCAGGGGAGATACTCCCAATAAGTCTGCAAACTAGGAGGAAGTGTAGGTTTTATTCTGGTTCTATTTTACCAGCATTACAGTATTCTCCCAGAAGTTAGGGAACTCCTAATAGAAAATAACAAGATGCAATAAAAAAAAAAAACCACAACCATATTTTCATAAAATGATGCTATTACTTTGTAATTTAGTCCCTTGATAAGAGCTTGGTAAGCAGTATACTGTAACAGCCAACAACACTGTATGTATGCATTTGGCAACTACTGGTTTTAGTTAAGACACAAACAAGAAAACATGAACAAAAACATCTGCTTTAAAATATCAATCTCCACATGATGCCTGAGGCCAAAAATCCAAGAGTTTAAATACTGCAAATTACACTGATACAGTTGATACACAGAGTGAATACTCAGCTATTGGAAAATTAAGATTATTTGGACTATCCAAATTTTTAAAAGGTGACAAATAATCCCAAAGTTTGTTTAAAAGAACGATGAATTCATCTACCAGGCTAAATCTGTATTTCAGTTGCACAACACAGGTAAGCGCTGCTTCCCTTATCAGGCACACCCTCAGAAGAGCCCTGCAAACCAGCCTGCTGTTCAGAAGTAAAAAAAAAAAAACCTCGAGCACATAGGAAGCCAAATACCACAGGAAAAATTAGTGCTAAATCATAGTAGCAACAGCACGGGCATCACAAGGCAGCGAGGCTGGAGCCTGCAGTACGTGAATGCCTCACACAGGGTCATTTCCTTGTAAGTCACCAGGACCTGAGCAGAGTTTCTCAAGCCCTAAAACTGGACACAGACAGCTGCTTCCGCTGTCACCTTCAGAAACAAACGGCACCCTGAGATACCCCGGCTCCCCCCGCCAGGCAGCCAAACGCAGCAGCAAGTAAGGCCCTGCCCCGACACCGCTGCGAGGAAGCTCCAGGCTCGGGCCCGGCCTGAGGCGCGAAGGAGGCCGCGAGCCCCGAGAGGGCCTGTCAGGGCAGGGGGGGCCGCAGCCCGGGTAGCCCCACCACGTGCCCCGCGGGAAGGGGCCAAGGAAGGAAACGAGCTCCGGCGGCGAAGCTCCAGCCGCGGGAAAGCGGCCTGGCTAGGCCGGGAGCGGAGCGCGCCTCTCTACCGGGCCATCCCCTTTCCCCCGGGGCGGGCCTGCTCTGCTCCGCTCCGCCGCGCCACGTCCGGGCCCGCTGCCCCGCACCCACCAAGCGCCCGCACTGCGCATGCGCTGCACCGCCCCGCTGGCCAATGGCGGCGTTCTTCCGTTACATAAGGCGGGGGTGGCGCTGCGGCCGTGCTGGGATGGGGGGGGTCGGTCTGTGGGGCGCTCGTGCCACGGTATGGCGGCGGGGCCGCGGTGTGCTGCGGGGCTAGCGTGGGCCATGAGGCACCCCTGGCCGCCCGGTTCACCGTGCGAGCCCCGGTCCCGCTGAGGCCCAGTGTGGCGTGGCAGGCAGGACAGCGCCTCGGTCAGAGCGGAGAGGCAGCCTGGCTCCGGGTGCTCGGTTCCCGGCTGAGCCGGGGAGGCTGCGGGTCGATCCGTGATGGCTCCGTCTGGTGGGGCTGTCCCCGGACCGTCCTCTCGCTTCCCGACAGGCCCTGCTCTCAGCCACATTTCCTCTGAGCTCAGCATACAGAGGGTCCCTAAAAATAGCAGCTACTCCTCAAGAAAATGGCTCTGGAGAGGCTGCAGGGAAGGGGCTGAGAGTCCCCGCCCCAGGCAGGGGTTCCGCAGGGGTCGTACTATGTTCAGGTGGCAGCTTAAGAAGGCCCATGCACAGCCTTGGAGGATTGAATGAATTAGAAAGCTGAAGGAAATGGTGTGAGATGAGCGGAGTTTGCTTCAGGCTGAAAGCGCGCGCGGTCCTGTTTGGTGTTTAAGACGAGGACCGGCAGAAGAAGCCGCTCACAGACTGAATGCGCAGCACAAGTGATTTGAAAGGTCCTAGCTTGCAGGAACAGAGATGTAGGCAGGCAGTGTGAAGAAGGGTAAAGGATCACTTTATTGACAATTTCGTATATTGGAATGGAAGGCTGAATGTGCCTTCTCGGATTATACACCCGTTTAGAAAAGGAGAAATGGAGGCAGCATCTCTGCTCAGATGTTCTGCCACTGTTTGAGCAATTGCAGCTTTAAAATAAGCCCAGGGTCTTGACAGTTCTGTGTCTGGGCCAAGACAACAAACAGTGTGCTTAGTAGAGGAATTAAGAGTTGTTGGTTTGACATTTTACAGGGGCTCAGGTTAAATGATTCTAATGTTCCCCTCCCATATGAGTGAGAGGAAAAAGCAACAGCAAAAATCCCTATAGCAGTACAGTGAATGTTTTGGGCCATCTTTGTGAGTCATGGCAGCAGTTACAGGTGAGCTCTGTAGCAGATAATCTGACACACCACTGGAAGTAGGTCTGGATGTGACAAGTGCATGTGTGGGGAGGTGGGCACTGGGGCTCTGTCCTCAGAAGCAGGTGGCTTTCAGAATTAGGTTTAGCTTTGATTGGGGGGCGGGGTTGCCAAGTGAAAAAGTAGCCTCTTTCCTGTCTGATGCTATTTTAGGAGGACTGCTGGCTTCAGATGTGGAACTCGAAGCAGCTTTCAAGGATCCTGTCTCTGTGCTACAGCACTGCCACACACCTGGCTGGGTGAGGACTTCAGATAGCGCACACCTCCTGAGTGCATGCTGAGTTATGGCTGGTCTCCCAACCTTTTCCTGCTTTGGGGAGATCAGAGGGTCTCGTGCAGGGCAGGGCGCTGCAGCCTGCCCGCTGACTGCTCTGTCTTTTGTCCCTTTATGCTGTAAATCCTGGTCCCGCCATCAGTCCATGTATTACCCAAATCATGGCACTGAAATTTAGATGCTTCCAAAGAGACCACTGGGAAACAAAAGCCCAATGTGAAAGAACACAAGTCCCTATAGCTGAGATTTGTACTATGAATAAGGAAAAATTCCTATTCTCAATAAGGAATTTTTCAACATATATTCCCTGCATGAAATTTACTTATCACACCAAAGAGATTGCCATGTGTGTGTGCAGGTGAGCAGAGAGATGCAGGCTGGATGTGGTGAGCTGGTAGGGAGGCAAGGCCAGTCTGTGTACTGGATGCTTTGCATAGCTCTGGTGAAATAAACCCATCCTAATTGCAGGTTATGTGTCTTATGCACTTCCTCTGCTCTGTGTTGCTCCCACATGAGGTGAAGCAAGCCAGAGTATATGAATGAGAGTATAAATAGAAGTTAAAATGAAAGATAAATGCAAGCTTTAGACTGAAATGTTGCATCTTAAAATTTCTGGAAATACACTGCAGCGTTTTTCTGCATGCTTCTTGTTTAATTGTTGTTGTTTTTTTTTTTAATTTAAAAAACAACTCATAACCTTCCCCAGCAGTGAGTATTCCGCATTAAAATAGAGTGAAAATGAAGGATGCTTCTCAGTATTTACGGGTAGACCAAATGCAAGGAGTTCGTTATTATCCCTAAGCCAGGGCAGACAAAAATGTTTCAGTGGGTACAATTCACTGAAATCTGTAGCAGTGTCATACACATAGAAAACACAGCTCCATATGGGTATGGATAAGGCTTTTTAGTTCTTATGGAGCCTCTAAAAATAATCCACTTTTTTTTAAAGACATTATTACCTTCTCATGATGCGAAAATTGGTGAGCAACAAAGCTCCAATTTAAGCCTAAGTGTGAATTTGATAAACATGACCAGAAAAAGCAAAATGCCAGTCTGCTGGGAGGAAAGCAGCAAAGGAAGCTGGAAGGAGCAGTGCTGTAGGCAGGCGTTTTTGTTAGTTGTGGTTTAGCATTTTTTTTAAACATCTTGATTGTTCATTATTCTCGTGCTTATTCCCATCTCTTTGGATTCTAGTCCCCATTATTTTCTGTGCGTGCACAGAGGAGCAGTTTCTGTCACTAGATCAAAATACCTGTTTCTGCTCAACAGCAACTTGCTGACACTTAAATTTTGTTACCAGTCAGTTTGAGCTGGCTCACCTTAGCGTGACTGGTGTCCTCAGCCCAGTTCCCCTCTAGGAACCTGCTGATGTTTTGAGACATGTCATTGAACCCATTTTGAACACAATCATTCTGAGGTGCAGGGCGGGTTTGCTCACGACAGCATAGGTGGGGCTGCATCTCCTGATTACCTCCTGTGCCTCTCTGCCAAGTCCTCCCACTGGGCGGAATTCCATGTTCCCTACCACACTTAACTGCCTGCGTCTTTCTCCTGCCTGTTTGCTTGCGTGCTCTGTTGATCCAGCATCGCATGAGTCCAGCATCATCTCACCAGCTAAATGCTGGCTGGCGGCTGAGTGCTGCCCTTTGCTACCACCTTGCAGGGAGTGCACATGCTGATACTGTGTGCCTGCCTATTGAGTGATTTTATTCTATGCCCCACCATGACCCCTCACCATGTCTGAACAAGGACAGGGACATGTGCTGGGCCCACAAGTGACAGAGATCTCACCAGATTTTGTGGATGAAGACTAACATTGACAAGAACACAGAACAGCAGAGATTGGCTCTGCAATGAAGGTCATAAGACAGAATTTGAAGCCAGTATCCTTTCAAAAGGTATTCAGAGCTGATGCAGTGGTAGATCCAGGTCAGTATCACTGAATTTCAGGGACATGGTTGCAGGCAGAACCCCAGACACGCTGGTATCCTCTGCACTTATGCACTGTTGGATGTAAAACATGCTGCGGCAGTACTTAACCTAGCTCAGAGGCCTGACAAGGTAACGTTTTGCTCATTCACCCTTTCTCTGCCTTACAGAATTTCACCTCTTCCCTCCATGCACTAGCATACCATTCTTTTCCCTGTAAAGGCATTTTTCACAACCACATCTTCAGTGCTGGTACATCTAGTTCACACCTCCCTGATACAACATAACTCCCTGGCCCCCCACTGACCTTGATGGCTGTGTGCTACTTCTACTGAGCAGGGATGTTGGCATCTCATGGGCTTGCCTAGAATTGCTATGGTGTCAAATACAAAAAAAAAGAGTGAGATCTTAAGTCATATATTTGGTTCACAGATTCAATAAATTCTTAGCTCTTCATTGTCATGAAAAGATACCAAATGCATACATATAAAAGAAATATTTTAAGGCACATGAGGGTATGCCTCTTTCTGAGTGCTACTGTAGAGCTAGGTGTTTTGTACTGCACAGTATGCTGATCTGCAAGGCTTAAAAATGGAAAAAGAAGGGGGAGGGGAGAGAAAAGTGAACAGAATGGGAAGGAAAGCCAAAGACCATCCTCTGTTTTAGGAGGAAGCTGGCACAGCAACACAGCTGTCTTGGCAGGGCACCTCAGGCTTGCAATACCATTCCACTCACACGATAGCTTTGAGGGATCAGCCACATTAGCAGCAATGCAGCATCTTTTCCTTGTCTGCCTGCTGCCTTTCTGAACAGTCCCTTTGTTTTGGAGTGTCCCCTGATGAGTGACATCCTCCAGAACAAGGACAACCTCACGTGATGTCCACCATGTTGCCAGCATCCCTGTGCTGCTCACTCTACTCATGCTCCCATGGGTGGACTTCAGAAGCACATAAACAAGAGAGACATTATCTTCCTAGCAGGAGAGTTCCCTCTTCTTCCACACCCCCAGTGAGCTGGAAGCCTGCAAGATGCTCATGTGTTTGTTAACCTTTTCCAGAACTTGAATCAGCAGTCCCTTCTTCCTTACCCCTACTGCACACTCAGGATCCTGTGCAACAAGGCAGACTGTGGAAATAATTTTGTCAGCAAACCTTAACTTTGGACAAACCCAGGGAAGAGTGTCCCAAAGCTGATGGTAGGTTGTGGTGTTGTGTTGGTTTGCTTTTGCTGGCACAGACACTACAACTAATCGTCCTTTCTCTCTTTTTCTTCTTTTTTGTTTCCCCTCCTGTAGCTCCTGGCCCTTTGCCACAAGCATGGACATTGCTGCTTCAGTGAATGTGTCTCTCCATTGGAAGGGAAGGGAAAAAAAATGTTAAGGGTAGGATACACCATGGAGCTGCTCGCATCCTTGGAGAGACAAAAAAAGAGAGGGCTTGAGGAACAAGCTTGTGAAGAATATCAGAGGGGGAGCCACTCAGCTCGGAGATGGCGTTCCTCAAAGGTTGGCAGCGTATATACACCTCCTGGACAGCATGGGCAATGATTGCCTTGTGACCTTGAGGTATTCTGCAGTCTCTCCTCTTTCAAATGCATTTTGTTGGATGTGGCTTTTGCTGAAAAAAGAAACCCAAGGCACAAATGCCTTTCTCAGCATGTCACAACTTTTCTGACCAACCCACATAGACAAACTGGAGACCTTGAGTACACACACTTCTGTTCTGTATAAACAGTTTAAAGTAGATTTTAGCTTTGCACAGCATTATGTACAGCTTCTATTTTTAAATGCACAGCAATTAACCTGATGTGCTCATTCCCTTTTTGCGTGTGCCCTCCATTGATGCTTTTGAGTTCTGTACATGTCCAGTCCCTGCCTTATCTAAAAAACAAATACATACGTACTTTTTAAATTAGCTAATTAATAATACCAAGATTTCCCTCCCTCCACCAATAAATATAGGTATGAAGCGTGAAAAAAATCCTCACAGTGTGTCGTGTGCATATTAAAATATGCCAGCAGTTGTGATTAAAATCTCTCACAAACATGCCAATGTTGTTGACAACTTGCTTCTAGCCTGGAGGAGGACAGTACATCCCTCAGTTTGTGCCTCTGAGTGACTGAACATCCCAGAGATGCCTCTGTGTTGAGGTGGCTCAAGGCATTCATCAGCTCTTCTTGCTTCCTTCTTTAGCCCATCTGCAAGACTCCACCCACATACGAGCAAATATTTTGGCAGTTGCTTATTGTACCTTGTGGAAGGGGCATTTACTTCTCATCCACAGCAAGCCTCTCCATCTGTCATTCAGGCTTCCACGTGCAGATTTCATTGCAACTCTAGAACTGCTCAGGGTAGGGTGAGAAGCTCTGCTGTCTAAATAGCATGTAAAATCCTGCTGTGCAGGGAAGCATAGGCCAAAGGTACATCCCACAATGACAGATACCAGAATGAGCAGGGAGAGTCAGTACACAGGAAAGAGCTCCGCAGCTGCAGGATGTTCCCCGTGGAAGGAAGGCAGCGTTGGACATTGGAAGTGCCACACACACTGCTGGTTTTCCCAGGTCTGCAGTGCTGGCTCAGCCCCAAGAGTCTGCTGCTTCAGGAAGAGATCAGCGAGAAACATCTGTTGCATTTCAACTTTTTCCTTTTCAGGTGCCCCGTTTCACTCACTCTGAAGCCACTGCATGACTTAAAGGCAGGAATCCAAAGAGCCTGCTTCAAACTGAGCTGTGAGGATTGCTCTGATAGCCAGTGTTTCCTGCCCACAGCCGACAGCACCTTCAACATAGCAAGGTGTAGCTCACACACTGGTGGATAAACAAGGCCTGGCAAGAGAAATCAGGGGAATGATTCCCCTGGAGGGCCACTGGATCCAATTGCTGCCTGCAAAAGGTCCCAAAGTGCTGCAGCAGAGCAATGTGCTATGGGTTGTGGGAGCAGAACAGAAAACATGTTCCTGGAAGCAGCCAGCAACACCAAAAGATGGCAGCTATATAGAAGTAAAAGACACTACCTGTAGGGCAGTGAAGTGGAACCAGCATGGTGGTGACGGTGACCATGACCACGAGTGACCATGCTCATAGTCAGAATTACTGCAGCTGAGTGGATATACGAAGCCCACAAGTCATGTCTCGAACATTTACTCTTAAGATGGACTGCCAGGGGATGGAGGAAAGGAAATCTATTTTCCTGCTATATATGTGGCTGGTGTCTGAGCAGCATGGGCAGAGGGCTGATTTTTCACTCCATCCTTTAGCCTGGCCTTTGCTTGAAAACTGCAGAAGGAAACCAAGGATGAATTATGCTTCTGTGAAAACTCAGTGCACATCTCTAATCTGGCAAGACAGAGTAACACTTCAAGGAGAATCCCAGAGCTGAAAAGAAACAAGAGCTAGTTATGAGTGTACCCTTCTTCAAACCAGCTGTTGCAGGCTCTTCCTGGCACTGTCCCGTGTCCCAACATCCACAGTGAAAAAGAGCTCCAGCTGTGCAAAGCTCAATCCAAAAGCTGCCAGCACAGCCTGAGCCTTTGCACAATTCACCCTATTTAAAAATGTGCACCTTTGAGCAAGATAAATTTAGACTGGTAATGATCTCCCAGGCTTGTGGCTTCTCTTTTTTTTGTCTGATACTATAAAGAGTTCTTTGGTGAGAGAAATCTTCTCCTTAAATATTTTTAATCAGGATCAGATCCTTCTTTTTTCTAAATAAACGGAAGAACCTGAGCTAGTATTGAATAGTGTTTTGCTAAGGAGAGGTCCGTGTGGCACCAACACAAGTAAAAAGGATGGCACCAAGGATGGCTTCCCAGTTACAGTTATTCTTTGAGATTTTGTATAGTCACATCCAAGTCTGTTCCCATGGTTTCAGTTAGACTGCATAAACAGGACACCTGTATTTCTCTCTTGGCTTCCTAGGACTATGCTGTCGACATGCAGGACTTGGGGAACATACCCTACAGACTCAACATGCCCCTCAGAGTGATCAGGTGCAGGTCCCACTGGTGTCCAGCAATCCTGTTGGAGCCACTGAGGGTCTTGCCCAGATCTTTCTCTGGATGACCCTTCCTGTATGTCAGGCAAAGTTTCCAAGAAGAAAATACCAAAGCCTGATGTTCACCAACCCCTGTGGATACTCCGACACTACTGTTGTCTTGGAAGCCTCCAGCAGTATCCAGATACAGCTTTGCACATAAAACAGACTGATGGAAGGGCTCAGGCTGATGTAGCTACTCTGAAGGTCAAATCCCTTCTTCCTCATCACTCTAAGCCACAGCCCTGTGCCAGCACAGAGCCTTGCTAACTCTCCTTACAGGCTTCTGCAGCTCAGAACTCCACTAGTTAGACCTTGGTCTGGGTCAGGATATGACCTTTGTGCTCTATGCAGCTCGAGAGCCTGTGGCTCCCCTTGCTCAGAGAGCTGCTGCTGAGGGTGAGGTACTTGGGCAAACAGTGATGATAAGGGAAAGAACGTACGGCTTTGCTGGCTCAGCACTGGAGGTGGCTTTTACCACACCTGCCTGCAGAGAAGGCAGAAATGTTTGACTTGGGAAAGAGGAGGAGATGGAAGGATGCACAGCCCAGGCATGAGAAAAGGCTTTGGTCAAGTCTGTGAATTTGTTCAGAGCCACTGGGGAGAATTATATGACAACGCTGAAAAACTGGTGAAGGGCACAGTTGGCAGGCTCACTATTCACCTCTGGTTTCTTATGGTCCTGTGGTGTGCACCATCTTCAGATGCTGGAACCTCTGCCCTCAGCTGTTTCATGATGGGATAGCTACAGTCTTAAATCTCAGTGGTGGCATTAAACATGGCTGCAGTCTCTTTGGGACATGCTGCAAAACACACAGAAACCCCGACCCATCAGCATCCTGCCCTGGGCATTGTGCCTGTGGAAACCTGCAATCACTTCTGCCAGCAACCTTCTCAGTGCAAAATATCTGGGTTTAGCAATGAGGACAAAGCACGATGACCAGAGGATACTAAACCAGCAAGTATACTTACGCCTTTTGTCTCACCTACCCTTAGTGAATCTTGAAGAGTTTCAAGTGACATTTACTGGAGTGGAAATGATGAACCAGCTTGTCACACAGTAGAAAGCTTATCTGCTCCTGTGTGCTTCAGCTCTTACGCTGCTGGTGACGAAAGAGACAGCAGATTGTAGCATTAAGGTACTTGCCCTGGCACAGTCTAGTAATGGCCCATTTGACTAATGTCAGATGGCCTCTAGGAAAAGGCCTCAGGCTGTTCCTTAGACCCCAAGGGGGAAGCAGCTGTTCCATTATGCTGTGACAGAAAGATCATGGCAATGATATCCAGCATAATACCAGTAGTCCTCAGAAAGTATCCAGTATCCATTCTTCAAAGGAAGGACTGAGCCCAGGCTGAATAAACCTGGTGTTAGTGAACATGTTCCAGCCTGCTATGAAAGTCTCTACTGGAGACAGTGCAGAGTCTAGAGAACTTAGATCCAGACCGACCCCTTTGAGGTAGCTGCTCTCCAGTAATGTCTCCACTACTACGCTTCAGTCACTGGCTTTGAATGGGGCTAACAGCAGTTGAGTGACACGTCACAGCAGAGCCTTAGCCAGCCCTAGTCTAAATAAGGACAGAAGTAGTGTCCTGACAGATAATGTCAGCTATGAATAACATTATTCTTTAAGATTTAAGGAAGGTGGAACTAAGAATTTCTGAACTTTGATTTGCTCACAAGGCATCCTAAGAGATAATCCTATGTAATACTATGGGCTGCATTGCTTGCTGGCACACATGCACAGGTCCATTAGCATTAGGTGCATAGCAAGCACTCAGACAACAGCTGCACTTGGCTTCCTCTCTGATTCTGCTCTCTATTTGAGGAAGTTTTATAGAATCATAGAATAGTTTGGGTTAGAAGGGATCTTTAAGGATTATTTAGTTCCACACACCAACCCCCAGTGGACTGGGACACCTTCTACTAGACCTCGTTGGATATGATACAGGAATTCTGGGAGAAATCCAGTTCACCTCTGCAGTTTGAATGCTATTGTCTGTGTCTAGCATTTTCTGGAAGCCTCACAGGTGAATTTAGAAGAGTTGCAGTTGTTCATTTGCAGCTTGCACATAGTGCGAGAATGCAGTACCTGGCCCCGAGCTCCTCATCCGGACATGTAGCAGCTCTTGACAGCTGATTGCTGCCTTTTCCTGCCAACTTCTCTTCATGGTCTGTTAGCTGCTGTTTTGGAGATCAAACTTGATCCTTGGCATCTATTCAAGCTATAGAGTCCAATTTATTCCTAGTACAACATCCGCTGGTGTTGCCTCTGCAGTCCATTGGCCCCGTCTGTGCAAGCTCACTAACTCAGAAGTAGCTCTGATTTTTTCTCTGTTGCCAACAGACAGAGGCAGCAATTAAGATGATGACTGCTTTTTGATAAGGGCTTTCTCTTCAGGAGGAGTGATCAGTCCCCAGCACTCTCCTCTTGGGGGGGAGCCTTTGCAAGTGCAGGGCTTGCAAATCTTCTCTTTCTGCTGCAGAAATAGAAGAAATAGAAGAGCTCAGCTGAGTGCAGGTCTCCTGACTGTAGCCAGACTTCACTTCAGTCTCAGATCTTTCCCGGCTTTAAATTCTTTCAGTTGACTTTATCTTATCCTTTCTTTTCCATGCACAATGTTATCAGAGCTACTTAGGCTCTACTGGCACAGCTCCTATATTAGTAGTTACATTTTGTTGACAGGACCAGACTGGCTGAGGTAAATTGGCTTACTCAGAGTGTAGTTAGCAATATGTACACAGTTGGTCTGACCATGTATTCTTCTGGAGCATTTTCCCATGGAAAGGAAGCTTATGCAACCAGTCAGTCTGTCCCACTAGCAGTTTTGGGCCTATTTGCTGATTTCAGTCACAGTCTGAGGGAGCAGTTCATCAGCAGAGGCAGCCATCCGTGCACACAGAATCCTCCCTGGGCCCTGCAAGCTGCTCTGCAAGTTTTGCTCTCAGACACTGCAGAATCTACATGGAAGAGACATTGCATCCTACCCATACAAATTTTGGTAGGAGTTTGTGTCTTGCTGGACACCAGAGAATCCAACTATAAATGCATGGGAAAACAGATTTCTTAGCTGGCACTGTCACTAAATCCAAAGAAACTCTCAGATACAAATGACCTTATAGTCATCTTTTTCTGGGGATATCTGCATTAGCCCAAAATTGCAGCACAAGAGAAAGAAATGAAGATCATCAGCAAGTGATGGCAATGTTAATTACACAGTGGTGCTGTAAGTGTACGAAGCTCTGTAGTGATAGAAAAGCACCCAGGCTAGCCCCACTGGGAAGGACTTTTGGTTTTCAAAGGCAGAACAACCCAAGTTGGTAGCCGAAGAGCACCAAGAGGAGCAACATTTTCCAGTGATGAGTACTTCATGCATGATCTGCCAGGAGCACTGCGAGTACCTGAGGAGGCGGTATCAGCCTGCTGATGGGAAGCTTTATGGACGTTTATGTTAACGAAGGGAATATAGAGCAGAAATAACGCAATAGCCTCATAGCAAAGGGGATCCCTTCCTCAAGGGCTTTTGGCAGGTTGTGTGCGCAGGGCTGGCATTGCAGGGTGAGCTGGTGAGGACCAAGGGCCATGGGCCCTGTTTCCAAGGGGTCCAGAGCAGAGGCAGCTCAGTCAGCCAGCAAAACTCCTTGGGTAATGGTCAGCAAGCCTAGTTCATCAGAGCAGCACTGGCAAGGAAGGTACTGTAGTCCATGGGAAGTCTAAAAGCTACTATAAAGACAGTCTAAGCTGTCCTCACCCGCTTTTATCTGGGAAATACAATACGTGACCCCAGCCCAGCAGCAACACTTACAGAAGTGAGGGACAGGCTGAATAAAACCATATTTCCTCAGATGTTGTGCATTGTGGTTGGGTGCAGCAGCATGAGTTCTCATTACGGCCTTCCCTTTGGGGCACACACAGGGTTGCACAGGCAGCAGCCACACAGAACGTCTTTTGCAGAGGTCCTCTGCTGTCTGAGACATGATGAGCTCATAGTGACCTCCCTCCCTTGCTCTAAGCGGGGGGATTAAGAAGACTATTCTTCTTTTCTGTGTCGTTTTCCAGGAAACTAATAGTAAAGTCATGTTATTGAGCTATAAGACTGAGCAGAGTAGCATCTTGCACCTGTGGTTTAAAAGTCCTTTGCAATACAGCGTGAGACTAGGTGTTTGTATGAGTCAGGAAGCCAGGAAGCAAACCTTCCCCAAGTACATAGCATAGGGGATGCCATTCCGTAATTCAACCACTTTGTCTTCTCTAAAGAGATCACTACTGTCTGTGTGTGGAAATTGGTGGTGAGATTCCCCCAGAAGCTTCACTGGGACCTGGGTTTCTTGGAGCTTGAGAGGATGATCACTGATTCCTGGATAA